TTACTTGTGTTCAAACACAAGGAGGTTTGACCAAGTATTTTCCTATTTCAGCTGGTTTACATCAAGGGCCAGCCTTAAGTCCATATCTTTTTGCTTTAGTCATGGGTGTTCTCATTAGACATTTGCAAGAGGTTGTACACTGGTGTATGCTTTTTGCTGATTTTATTTTTCTTGTTGATAAGCCTAGAGAGGGAGTTGAAGGTAAACTTGAATTATGGAGGTCAACCATAGAGTCTAAAGGCTTTCGTTTGAGTAGACCTAAAACTAAATATATGGAGTGTAATTTTAGTAATAATAGCTCTAGTGGGGGATTGTGACTTTGGGCAATCAAGTCATTAATAAGAGTACACATTTTAGATTTCTTGGGTCTATTGTTCAGAGTGATGGTGAAATAGATGGGGTTATTATTATTAGCATTCAAGTTGGAGAGAGATCCCTAGGAGAGGGAAGCAGATCACCCACCAACATTGGAAAAGTTTGAGTTCGTGGCTAGTTTCTTCTTATTTCTTCCTCTTTCTCCCTCCCGTCCCCTCCACCCCACGACCCATCCAAATACCACAACCGCCGGCCACCACTCCAGGGCAAAGCTCCACCATCGGCCAAGACCTCTGCCCTCTCCACCTAGCTGCCGGCCATCCAAGGTGGTTCACCCCTTGGTTGGTTGATCCACTTAATTCCTACACCTCCTCCTAACCCTAATCCGAACCCTAGCCTAGCCGTCGGCCTCTCCCTTTCCCCTTGCCTCCAAATTTTCAAATTCCTCATCATTACTTTCCTTTCTTACTTGGTCTCTTTTCGGAAAGCTTTTCAATTTCAATTATTCAAATCAAATTTGAATTTTGAAACATTTCTTAAAATAGAATCCTATTTTAGGAAAGTTTCTAAAATCAAATCCAAATTAAATTTGAATTAGATTGGAATTAAATCCTATTCCTTGATTTGAGAATCCCCATTAAGTAATAAAACCCTTGCTTTTTTCCCCAAGCCCTCTCCCTATGCTGCCGGCCTCCTCCTTGCCCCACTTGAATACTTTCCAAACTTCAAAACTTCTCTCTTTGGAAAGAATTCAAAGTTTCTCCCTCTCTCTTACCCGCCCCCTCCCTCTTTCCAAATCACCCTTAAATCCTTTCCAAATTAAAGGATTAATTAGAGAAATAATTTCTTATTTCCCTCCATCCCCCCTCCCCAAAAATTTGAACCGAATTCTCCCCCAAACCCCTTCCTTTGGCCAGCAACCCTCTCACCCTTTCTTCCATTTGGATTCTTGAGAGAAACTTCTTTCTCTCAAGGGGAATCCCTAAGGATCGCAAAGGACGTCATCTACAACACTTCAGCACTACGAAATCGATGCATGGCCGATCCTGATCTTGACTCCAGCTTCGTCTACAACGAGCAAGGCTTCGTTGACATCCTCCGGTCTCCTTTCTTCTACGTCAATCCAGAAGTAGACAATTGCGCTGAAGAGTACTTGGAGCGTATCATCTTCATCCTGTCCGAAGCCATCGAAGAGCAACTTTCCACCGTTCAATGGCAAATCACCGCCGGGCCTCGATGAGGGTGAACTCTTCCTCTTAAATTTCCACTCTAATCTTCTTCTCGTATAGGTTGTGAATTAGGCACAAGGAATTGTGCAAATCTATCTGCCAAAGCTTAGTAAACCTAGGGAATGAGTTATAATTTTCTGTGCACCTATTCTCATTGTTAATCTAGGGATGTTATTGAAAATCCCCTAAATTTGCTTATGTTGAAATTCTAATTATTTTGGTGATCTTAACTATTAGCATGTGATTTGGCCTAAGCGGAAGCACCTCTTTTTTTTTTCTATTTTGGTTAAGTGGCTAACGTTTTAATTCTTATTGCTCTTACTTGAAAGCGTGCAAATTCTTATTACATTCATTTAAATCATATATAGTTCTACATCACTTTTAGCTTCTTTATTTTATTGGAAACTCTTATACTCTCTTTTTTTGTCATTCTTTGAAAGCACATTACTTTTCCTTAATAATCTTTTCTTCTTTCTCGTTTTGTCATAGGGTTATTAAAAAAATAATTAAAGTTTAATCGCTTGAAACTTGTTCAAAATTTTACTTAACTCATTTTGACTTGTTCTGAGTTGGGCTTGGTTAACTTTCTGAAATTTTTATTTCTTTTCATTTTATTGCATGGAGTTAACTTTTATTTTGCTAAACTATGTTTGCAGAACATTTTGCTATGTACCTTAGGTGTAGCCTCTTTTTTCTTATTATAACCTTCAAAATAATTTTATGCACCCACTTAGTGATGCATTTTCTTCTTTTGGTTGCTTATGCTCAATTCACTTTATTCTATTTTTAACTATTTTATTTTGATCAGTTCCTCCTAATTTTATTACTAATCCATCCTAACATCTTCATTTTGGCCATACTCGGCTTCAATGTTAGTGAATTGATGCTCAACCCTCATATACGACAATAATGATTTTTCTAACTGTTGTGTTATAAAATTCACCTCCAAATCTCAATAATACTTCTACTCTTAAGCATCTATAATGTTCTCTTATTGCATAGTACTTCAGAGATTTTCTTCATTTTATCACCCAACTTCAACTTTATTAATATATTCTCACATGGATATCCATTCTTTTGTATAATATATCTATCATACTTAAACTTCTAACCCTTATGTATTAGTTGATTATTAGCGATATTGACTAATAATTATCAATTTCATGCTTACTAAAATTATATATAAAACATTTGATTCGTATTTAGTATTCTTTTGCACTTTTTTCACATAAATTGTCCTACATTGTTCGACTTCTCAATTATTTCAGTTGAGATATTTCCTTTTCAAATTATGCCATATGCAATAACTTGCACCATGATATATCACTTAAATTATTTTTTGTAAGCATTTATAGAGTATGTACAAAAAGAATTAGAATGATCCTTGTTGTAATCATATTGTGAATGGGAGGTTTTTTGTCTCTTTGTAGTTATTTTAGTTTTTTTTTTAATTTTTGATTTTGTCATGTAAATATTTAATTATTCAAGTATATCTTTGATGCACACATAAAACCTCTTTATGCATAATTGATGAATTTTTTGTCCTAGATTTGATGTAGAACAGGTAGGACGGCTTTGCTAGCGAGAGGATCTCTCCAAAAATCTAAAAAAAAAAAACACTTCAGGAAATCTAAAATTTTTCTTCAGGTTTCTTATTCAAAACCTGAGAGGAGTGGAGCCAAAATCTGAGAGAAATCTCAAGATTCTAGGCTTAGGAGCAAGGGGGATTGGAAGGAGAAATAAAGCTTTCATTCCAGCAAGATATTGAATTGGGAGAGGGGGAATTTGAGTGGGATAGGTGGTCGGGTAAGAGAGAAAACCAGGTAACCGGGATTTAATTCCTTACGGTTCAGATTTTTTTTTTTTATTCAGCTATTTTGTTTCCAAAAGCTGAAATAATGCCTAAGAAAGAGATATGAATGAGAAATTCAGCCTAGAGGAGTTACGGGCATTGACATTATTCCCAAAAGGACTTAGAGTTTAGGAAAACAATTAAATGGGATTTTACTGGTTGGAATTTTTGGTCAAACACAAAATCTCAGATTTTGAGATTCTTTCCAAAGAGCTTTGAGTTAATGAAGGAGTTAATTAGGAGCATTAATTGACTCTTAATTAAACAAAGGAATGAGGAAGAGGGGTCGGCCTAGGAGAGAGGAAGGGAGAGGGGTTTGATTTCAAATAAGTGGACCCCAATTACTTAAGTGAATTAATCCTTAAATCTGAAATTAAATTTCAGATTTAAAGCTGAGATTAATTCCTTAATTAAAGGGAGGAAATTGAGGGGCACTTAACTCCTCATTCAAATTTGAATTTTTAATTGGAGAGTTAAAACCTTCCAAATGTGGATCAAACCCAATTAGGAAAATTTTCAAATTTGAAATTTGAAATCCAAAATTTGTCATGGGTTTATGATTTCAATTGAGCACTTTTCAAAAATAGGTGAGCTAAATTAGGAAAGAAATTTGAATTTCAAATTAATTCCTAATATCATGCCCTCCTAATTAGGAAAACCAAGGAGAGAGGGGAAAGGATGAGGCGGGCGGCTAGGGAGCCATGGTCGGCGGTTTGTGGTGGATCTTCAGGTAAGGTGGCCGGCGGCTTTTGGTGGAAATGGGGACGACGATGGTGGACGGAGGTAGAGGATGATGCAACAAGAAGTAACCAAGGAAAAACAAAGATAGAAACGAAAGATAGAAAATAAAAATGATAGAAACTGCGAGCCTTAGACTCTTCCGAAGGCTGACGGGTGATGCGTTGCCCTTATCCAAGGGACTTCAACTCATGAGCCCGAACCCATCCTGCGGCTGGTGACAACTTTGATTCCTTCCCATAGGAATCTCACTCTCATTCTCTCCCAAGAACAAAGTGTGGAACACAAAATTTTCATATCCATCAACCATCCATTACAATAGCTTAAGGCCCTTATTTATAGGCCATAACATGAGAAAATAGAAAATTACAAAAATACCCCTTGGGCCATAACACTCAAATAAACTAACCTAAAATATAAAATAATAGCTAAAATTTATAAAATAAATCTTAAATAACAATTTAAATTAGAGTCATCGATTTACGACGCCTCCTGTGATAGATGCGCCAGATCTTCGTGCCGATGTCCGCATCAAGATTATATGCTTTTTTATGAACATGGAAAATCATATGAAGATCTTTTTCTTTGCTATCTATAGAAATCACTTCTGTAGTAGATCTTTTGTACATATAATAGCTATCATTATCTAAAATGATGTGATACATTTTCCCATAATAATTTTGAGAATATTCATATTTTTTTAAAATTATTGTGACCAAATGAGGGCACACCTACAACATTCAAAAGGCTTTGTTATGTTTCTCACTACAGCTCGACTTACTTGGGTGCTTGGGAACTCAGTTGAATTGTTTTAAAACTCCATTAAATTGATCTAAATTGAACTTCATCTTTCTGTTGGCCTCTAGGGATTCATGCTGTGTGCTTAAAAATTTTGTCATCGGGTAAGTTGTTAAGGAACCCAACTTTTATATAAATCATATCTCTATTTAGTTGTTCTTGTGCATTTGAAGGGTTCAAAATGATTAGATTTATGTTGCTTAGCTATACTTAATAGTAGTTGTCCCTCGCTTTGCTATAGGCCTAACAATCATTTTCTTATAATATTAATCTGGAAGTGATGTCAGATGTTTTTGACTTATTCTTTCTATGCTTCATGCAGTGCTGATCAATATGGAAGCCGTTTTATTCAGCAAAAACTAGAAATAGCCACAGTTGAAGAAAAAAACAAAATATTTCCAGAGATCCTTCCTCATGCACGTGCCTTGATGACAGACGTATTTGGAAATTATGTCATACAAAAAGTATGCAAATTCTTTTTGACATGTTACCGAATCATGATACATATTAAGAAATTCTGAAATTTGCTTGTATATGGATTTCCAGTTTTTCGAACATGGTACGGAGAGCCAGAGAAATCAGCTTGCCAGTAGACTTTTGGGTCATGTTTTGCCTCTCAGTCTGCAAATGTATGGATGCAGAGTAATTCAGAAGGTTTGCGCAAAAGCATTTCTCTTCTACTACATGTGACCTGTTAAGAATTCATGTAGCTTATGAACAACTTTTAGTTGTTTTATTATGCTTATTTGTGTAAAGGAATGCAATAGTTTGTATAGTTCTTCCTTTAATATTTGAACTGAAGTATTTGAAATTGTTAAGCTTAAGTGCGGCTTGTTTCAGATTTTTAATATCTTTGCCTATATGTCGCAATCCTGAGTTCTTTTGGGTGCATTTCTTGGTTAGCTATATGATGTTTCTTAATTAGCGAATGCATCAGCTGCTGGATCTGATTTACCTGTTCTTGTGGCATTCTCTTGATTCTGGGAACTGCTTGGCTTACAAAACTGTGTAAATAAGAACTAGTTGGAGAGATGAAGCAGCATAACTGAGACTTTTATAGATTTAAAGTTATTTTAATGTTTTTTCATTAGTGGAAAGAAGAACTAGTTGGTATTTTACCTGACATGCCTCTAGTATTCTTGCTTATTTACTTTTAACTGTGACATTTTCTTAATTTTAGACCATACATTTCTATCAGCATGCTCATAGTATAGTGAGGCGCACTTTTGCAATATTACTATTGCATGGCACAAACTCTCAAACTAATGTGTATTATTTGAATTTAAGTTTAGTATAGCACATTGCATAAGGCGCCAGCAGTGCATGTTTTTTTTTTTTGCTAAGTTTGGGAGATGTGATCATGATGAGGCTATTTTAGTTAAAGAATATGCGGGTAGCGAAGAAGATGGTGTTGGAGATGATGGTAATGACAAAAGTGAGGTTATTCTATTTTATGATGATGTTGATTTTGAGGTAGCTATTTTTAGTTTTGAATTTGAATATTTGACTTGTAAGCAAACTATTCCTTATGATTTCAGCATAACTATTCCCTTGGGAATATTTTTGGTCATCTTTTTTATGAATGCTTTAGCTACAATCTTTTGTATTTATTTTAATATTAACTAGTGCCAAAATCAATTATAGTTTATTTACCATCCTAATTGATTTCCTTTCCATGTTTTTTGTTGTCAATCTGATTGTATTTTTCAACCTTCACATATGTTAAACATTCATGGCATTGTGTGTCTTTTTTTTTTTTTTAATTTAAGATATTATTTTCTCTTAGATTGATTGTTGAATTATTATAAATTATTCATGATTTACTACAATTTTTAATTAGTGTGTGCCATCTTTTATACGTCATTTGCTATGTCTCAATGCAATCTTTGCACCATAGTGCACTATTCACTTGAGAATATATATGTTCATCTTTCTTTATGAATGTCTAAAGCTCCAACATTTTGTATGTGATTTCAATATTATATATTGCTAAAATCATGGTACTTTTGTTTTCCATTGTAATTGATCTCTTTGCCATGATGTTTTTTTTTAAATTTGATTTTTGTTCATTAACTTTCATATATGTTAATGTTAAGCCCCAAAATTTAGAAGAATCATTCTTTTTATCTTTTATAATCAAAAAATTCGAGCTATTTAATTTCTTTTATCAATAATTATCAACGGAATTAATTCTAGAATTTAAAACATTAATATATATGTATATCTATTATCATTGCTCCCAAAATCATATACAACACTAAAAAATTACAATTACAACATATCTTTCTGGTCTTTAATAATAATTACAAAATAGAAAAACAAAATAACAATAAACCTGGTGAATCCCAATCAATCTCACACTCATGATCGCTGCCTTGAACTGAAATAATTTAAACAATAGATAATGAGTTAAAATGTCTATAATTGAACTCAAAGCATGATAAAAAACTAGTATGCATGCCATTAGTCAATTTATAACAATAGGTTTTAATGATCATAAATCAGTGCATAAATAGTAAAACTCACATGTGATATCAATAAAGTCTGCAGACAGTAAAACAGTAAGGTACAAAAGCTAATAAATAAAGCAGTACAGTGTATAAATAAGTAAATCGGTACAAGTGTCAAATCAATAAAATAGTCATCGTTGTGGTACTATTTAATAAGGAAATGATATAAATCACTAAAATCAAAACCTCGATGAAGATCCTCAAAACCATAATCACAAGGTCAGTATACCCCATAATTGGTGACAATGGATCATAAATTAGTGATTCAGTAACAGTGTCGTCGATGACAGTAAAAATAACAATAAATTCATACATTGATAATAAATCGGTGTAGTAACATTAATAATAAAGTAGTACAATGATAATGAATCAGTAACATGCATTTCAATAATCATACTAAACAAGTAAAGAGTCCTAACAAAGCTGTGTTTTTTCAGTAATAAGTTAGTTGTTAATAATCGTTGGCACAATAAACAGAGTTCACTCCTTGCTCGTCGGCACATTAATAGCTTTTTATAACTCCTAAGCAATGAATATCGTGCATTAATAGAGGATAACAAAAAAATCACATTATTTAAAGGAAAGCCAATTGACCCATCATCATGTATAGGTCAATCAATCTCCAACCAATGCCAGTGAAACTAGCTTTTACTTGTCTTCACACATTATTATCACAATATTTTATAACAACAATAACAACCAACGGAGGCCTTAAAAATATGCCTTATGGTGCCGAATGTTGGCCATTAAAAGAGAAGCACAGTACTAAGTTAAGTGTTACAGAGATGAGGATGCTTAGGTCGCTGAGTGGCTTTACCCTTAGGGATAGGATACGAAATGAGCATATATGTGAAAAGGTTGGAGTAGCTCCAACAGAAGATAAGATTATAGAGAGTCGCCTTAGATGGTTTTGCACATTAAACAGAGGCGCCTTTCGATGACTCGGTTAGGAAAGTTGAGGTATTAGATTTAAATTTTGTTAAGAAAGGTAGAGATAGACCTAAAAAGACTTGACTAGAAAATATTAGAAATGATCTTTTTTTATTAGATTTAAATGAGAATTTGACTTTTAACAGGACACAATGACGAAAAAGGATTCATGTAGCCGACCCCACGTGGTGGAACAAAGGCTTGATGTTGTTGTTGTAATAACAACGAACAATTACTCAATCACATATCAATATTCATTTCCAATGTCTATTTTAGCGATATGCATACAATAAACTATCAAATTCTATTTAGGAAAATTGATACAAAAGATAATATCTTTCATTCTACCCGGTGAATTTTAGAAATATTATAGTCAAAATGCCAAGAATATCCAATATGATAACATATAAAAATTTACACTGTGAAAGCTCAATAAAATCAGAGAAAATACAGTAAAGTCAACTTTGAGGAAAAATCCAACAGTCAAAATCAAAAACTTTGAAAACAGAGATAGGATTTAAGTCACCTTCCTCAATCTGAATAGTTTCTGTAAAAACGGTAAGGTGATATGACAGTCAAAATCAGCTTTTCCCTTTTCTCTCTCATTCCCTCTCCCTCTTCTCCCATTTCCTTCTCAGGCAAGCTGGCGGTGAGTGAAAATGAGGGACGATGAGTGGAGAGAAATATATAAAAACAAATTTTAATGGGTCGCGCCGCAACACCATCATATAACGAAGCAGCGTTGCATGTCGAATTCAAAATCATCGTAGAACAGAGGCTTTAATGTTGTTGCGTCCATTCTGAGTGCCACTGTGCTCCGAAACCAAGCGCCTCGGCGCTCAAAGGCATCGCGCCACTGTGCTGCAGTTCAAACAAGAATTCAAAATTTATTTATTTATTTAATACTTTGTATTTTCATGTTATTATAGTTAAAGTGAAAGCGGTGTGGGAATGCTGATGAGCAAAAGCATATGGTCCCAATTACATGCTGCTTATTATAATAAAAACTTACTTTCCTTTGGAAGCCTATACAAACCTTCTAATAGTATATAGGACTTCATTTAGGTTGTAAAGGGACTCTTTTCCCTGTATTTGAATATGCAATTAGTTATGTCAGTATTTAGTCTTGTATTGAATTCCATTGCTAGGACATAATTGAGGAACATAGTTTGTGTAATTCGTCCGATACTTAAAGCTCAGAAGTATCTAAGACATTGTTCACAAAGCTGCCAGATTTTTGTTTAAAAGAACAAAATTGAAATATACTATATGACATGTTCGAAACAGAGTTTGAACTGACCAGTTGCCCAACTAAGTGCTGGGGATGGCAGTACAACCCTTATAAGTCTATGTGCTTCATAGTTTTCATGTCTTAAACTTAATCACGGATTAAAATCCTAGAAAAGAGAACTTTCATTCATAATTTAGCATCCATAGTTGCATGATGTGAGCCCAAGAATCGCTTTATGGAGAATGGTAACCAGATGTTCTTGACAGTGGGATAATGACTTCGTCTTCCATCCCATATTAAATAATTTGAGGAACCTAGATAATTTCCGAAATGACTTAGTTTTGCGACATAAATATAAACAGAAATATCAAGTAGATAACCTTCAGAACAATATTGATGACAGTTGTTTTCAAGTTCTCTCTCGCTGATGTTGAGGATTTAATTTAAAGTACGTTTTCGTGGTTATGAATGTTCCATTTGTAGGTTCTTATCCATTTTATTGTGGGATTATTTTCCAAGTTTTAACCTCTTGCAGGCGTTGGAAGTGGTTTGATGTGTGAAACAGACAGACACAGTTGCGCCTGAACTTGATGGTTCAGTCATGGAAATGATGCCGTGATCAGAACGGGAACCATGTAATACAGAAGTGCATTGAGATGCGTTCCTCAAGAAAGCATTAAGTTTATCATATCCGCCTGTTATGGACAAGTTGTGGCACTTTCTACTCATCCATATGGTTGCAGAGTTATTCAGGTTTTAAATTTAGTTCTTTTATGTTATAATGATTATCTTTTATACTTTATTTATGACGTATCATTTACCTTTTTTTTCTTTCATATTTTATGTTGCCAACTCTTAACTGTTCAATAATGAACTAATATAATAATAATAATAATAATTAATAATAATAACTCATATCTGTTTTCATGCTATCATGACCTGAATTCCTTGACAACTAACAGAGGGATTCTGGGCACTGTGACGATGCAAAAAACACAATGCATTATGATGAATGAGATCCTGCAAGTCTATTTGTACCCTAGCAAAAGATCGAGTACGGAAAACTATGTTGTTCAGTATTTTAGGATTTGCCTTTGTTGTTGTAATCTCTTTCTTGGCTTTGTCACATGACACATTCATGGTCTTCTTTTTGTTCATAACTTTTCCTACTTTGCTAAATTCATGCTAGGAACCTATTTGATGTTGCACTTTTATAATATCAGGATTTAACTTGTGTTCCAGGTAGTTTATTGCCAATTATGAGGCATTAGGCAGATGCATATGTGTACAACATTAAGAACAAAATAAAGCCTTCATCCACGAATTGGAGTTGCCTAGATGAATCCTCTTTCTCCATTGTATCTTATCAAGAGTCAAATTCTCATTTAAATATAATAAAAAAAAGTTCATTCAAAATTCATATAGCCGACCCCACGTATTGGGTAAAGGTTTGATGCTGTTGTTGTTGTCTAATACTTAATAACAAGTCTTATTTAGTTTACCTTTACCTTCTTAACAAATGCTAGATCTAATACAATTCATGTGTATTGTGCAATAATTGTCTGGTCAAGTTAATTTAATTTAAGTAAAGTTTTTTATCATAAATGGTTTTTTAGCATTTATTAAATCCATATGTGTGTGAAGTAAATTGTTGCCGTATTTAAGAAGTATTGCTTCATTTAGAAGGTATGAAGATGAAGTAATAATAATAAAGCACTAATAATAAGATGAGTGCCCCTTTCATATTCATAATCTGAAGATTAGCATATAACGAGTACGATACACAATTGCCCTTAACTATATTTTTAATTTTTTCTTCTTATTTTAAACACCATAATGAAGCTTTTTGTCCTCAAGAATTATTGGTCAAAGTTGTTTATAAATCATTACGCATCCGTTGAATACATGAAGAGCTAATTTATCTATGAGGGCGATTAACATGTTGTAACCTTTATTTGGTTATTCTCCCACACAATAATGGTGGAAAAAGCCTATTCATTCCTACTACGAGAAGGATGTGTATGTGAAGTATGCTAAATGTCTACTTTTAATGAAGAAGATAACATGCTCATGTTTCTATTTGCTCCAAGAAAGAAATACCATTCACAAATGAATTTTTATCCTAGTTCTTGATGTTTTCTCGATCCCTACATCACCAAAACCGAACAACTTTTTTTTTTGAATTATCAAAGAATACGTCCGTATGACCAAAACTGAGCCCTATATAATATACCTATTTGCTAAGCCATTACTGGTGATTTGATCACAAAGGGGATAGGACTATCTCAATATATACTAGTTCAAGCAGTTCCAAAATTAAGCTTTTGTGTTTGTTGGGCTATTTGGGATTCGTTGAAGCTCTACAATACCAAAGTTTAACTATAGGCCGAACTTTCAATCCCTTCATACTGTCATTTCATACGAAATAATAACTCTCCTATCAGGCTATAAATTCTTTCCTGAGACTAACTTCATGTTACTCATTTTTTATCCCTAAATATTAATTTTCAAAGGTCTAAAAAATAATGTAATATTGGAGATAATAATGCTATGTGATAAAATAGATAGAGAAGGTATCTCAATATTATTGCCCCATTTCACGTAAGTCCAAATTAAGCTTTGTTCATTGACGTCTTGCTTTGGGGAAAATCGTTCAGCCTACAATGCAAAGTTAAATGGGACTTCACTCAAATAATCCCTTTTGTCTTTTTCACCACAATAAAATCGTCTCGAAATCCTAATTCATTATTCTAATTATTGACTCAAACTTTCATAATTCATATCTATTATCTCTAATAATTCTATTCGAAGGCTTATAAATAATAATGTTGAATATGTGAATAAAATGCTAGTGTGGAAAAAGAAATTGAGGAAAGCCTTTCAAAAAACTTGAAGTCATAAGAATTTGCATTGAAATACCAAAACCAAGAAGAAAATGACGAATGTGGGTGGACATAATATTGTCTATTACCTATAAATAAGATGAGAATCACCCGATTTGCGATGCTAGTACCCAAAGAATAAATTCAAACACATAAGTATTTATATAAGGTTGAAAATCTTTGATCCATTTTGTTAAATGAAAATGTTGAGCTTGTTTTTATCATGAGCCAATTAAGGAGACTATAAGAGTTATAATAATTCAGTCTAGTATGTAATGCAATTCTCTATATCGATCTAGAGGAGAAGTGGGTTATGTGTATGGTGCCATATAGGATATTAGCTCAAATTACATAAGCAAAAAGATGACGTATAATTGTTGTCCTTACAAGAGTTTTACTCAGTTAAAGAAATATTGCCATCCAATTGATGATAACGAGTAGTACTAAAGTTGCCCTTGCCTCGAGTTTGGTGAATTTTTTTTTTTTTATAGTATGGATACTTCCAATCATCCAAGGTGCAAAAATATGTTCACTTAAAGCTTATCCTTGATGTATTCTAACTGTGATTGAAATTTGTTGGCATTTCCACCGACTCGCAATTTCATTTGTCTAGTTCTCTAATAATAACCTTATCTGACTAACATCTTTTATCCGTTAAATATTTCATCCAATTAATTTAGCTATAAAGAACTTGATGAATAAATGCCATTTTAAAGATCCAATGTTAAAATATATGAATTAATTCAGGCTTTGCACGTCTATATTTTATATAATTCATCTCATTCATAAAAATAGTCAAATCCATTAAATAGTATCATGTATAAGGTTAAATGATTCTTTTGTGTCTATTTGTTTTTTCCACACCCATATCCCCATTTTCCTCTACTAACTACATTATACCAAGGTTTTTAAATAACTGAGATCGAAATCGGCAGGGTCCGAATTGGTTTCAACCATGAACCAATTATTAAGGCCGGTTCGATCCATCCTTGAAAACTGCTTCAGGCAT